AATAAGTATTATAATTTAAATAAGTAATTTAAATAAGTAAATAATATTTCTCTAGCTCCTTTCCACCGCTTCGTTAAGCAGCGACCAAACTGTTGCTAATAATGTCACGAATTTTTTTAGTGACTTGGTTGAAGCAAGGCGATCCCCGAGACAAGCAGCAGATATCACTTCAGCTCGGACGGCAGCACGTCCTTCGAGTTTGGCATCAAGACGTGCACGGCCAGCGACGTCGGCCAATATTTAGCGCGTGCAATCGGCCAGAAGGGTGAGACGAACTCGGCGTTCGCCCTCAACGTCGTCAGTCCCGGCGAGCTGTGAAATCGATCTTGATACCGGGTTACACGCTTACACGTCGATTATCATCGCGGTCGACGACCGAATCGGAACATCTCTAATACATTCTTCGCGTAGAATATGATTCTGGATCACTTCGTGAATATTAAAGGGTACGCGTACACCTCGATGAATGGGATCTTCTGTTTGTCTGAGAATAGGTTCTCCAAGAAGAGTGTTTCTTCCCCGCTCTCGTACGCGCTCTGTTCGTGGACGCCGTAACGATCTCCGAGCGATCGTTACCGCGTCTTCCACACTCTGGCCTTTCTGCTTTCGCGAAAATTAATCGGAATGCATGCGATGCGAGCGAAGAGTCGAGCCGGAGCAGCTCGGCCGCGGCGAATATTTTTTAGAGTACATGACGTCCCTGTACAGAAAGGAAGAGAGAACTGGAAGACTAATATTAATCTCTCTTTCTCTCTCGCGTATTCTGTATGTAAATTATTCTGGAACGCTGTATTTTCTTCCTGTGTGTTTGTCATAATGTCGCATGATCCGCGCGAATCTAGCATCAGAAAAAAAAGAGAAAGAGATAAACGGATATCATGTAGAATGTCGACGCCCGCGAACGTGATTTTTTCGGCGAGACTGCCAGCATTCTCGAACATCCGAACATACTTTTTAATATCACCATCTAAATCTTAGATCGAGTTTGCAAGTATTTTTACGCGATACTGTCGCAATGTGCCCTCCTATTCCATATTAATGGTACGCACTGTCGTGTTTTACCTACTTGTTTGAAGACTGCTTCCGTCAGAAAATTTACGATAAAATAAAACGTATAATTAAAAATGAACCTGTTGCGAGTTATTACACCGTCCTATCTTATTAGTAGATTACAAGTGTAATTTCTATTAACTTTTTCCATACTTGTCCCCGAGTTAGCGTTTGCATTTGTATCGAGTATCTCGATGAGAAAGGGAATATATAGTGTATACTTTTGTATATTTGATAATTAGAATAATCAGTATAAACATAGAGGATATATTAATGTAATATTGTATAACTTTAATATGAAAATCATGGAATGCTATATATAAATTCAGTGCTAAAGCAGTCGTGCACCATATATAAAAGAATTTTTTAGTAGAAAACTATTTCATTGTGTTAGAAACAAAATATCCAGAATATAAACTCAATCCCAAGACTTCCATTGGAAATCGCAATACTAATCATTTCTTGAAGGCAAAGAAAGTAATAACGATAAATTAGTTTCAAAACAAAGCCTGATCTTTTTGGAGATTGAATTTAAGGGCCTTGCATTTTTTTTCATAAAAAGTGCAATTGCAACGAAGAGAAAGCCACGGTACATACAGCACTGCCTTTCCTAAAAGGCTCGATTCAAGCTTTGTGGTTTAACAAAAAATTTTTTAATATCTACATTTTTTCTGTTTTATTAAACCACAGTGATGTGTCTCATGCATGTTAAACCGCGTACGATTTAATTAGATCTGACGTAAAAGGAAGATGAAACAGTTTCCATCTTTCCATGAACACATGCGGAAAAAAAAAAAAAAAGAAAAACGAAGGTGCCCCAAGGATGCTCGAGGTATGTCGGGTATGTGATGTTTATTGAGCTAAATTCGCGTTTAATTGCGCAAGTCTGACACGTTTGAATTGCGCAATTTGACACCTCACCAATTTCTCAACCTCGATTCATCATTACGACTCGATTCAAATCCACTTAGCTTTACTACGAAGTGTCCACTTGGTAAGTTATCGGGACTTTGAAGCGTCGTTGATTGAGAGTCAGAAGTGCAGTGCGACAAAACTAGTGGAATGCCGAAAACCGAACGTAAGTATCCGAATGTATAATAATCTTATCAAAATATAATATTCCGAAAGTTTTAATTTCATGGAACGTTCTTATAATCAATTTTTACGTATCGCGCGTTGAAGAGACACGAATTCTTCACAGAAGTCTTTTTTTCGGTATCTGCGTGATATGATTGTAAAGATTTGTGATGAAATGAGATACTTGTAATGGTAAAATTATATTATTCGATAAAAGTAAAGTGACGATAAAAAATATGTTTATATAAAATAATATTCACAAAACAATTTTATAATGATAAAAGATTTGAAACTTCTTAGATCTTGACGAGGATGACAGACTTCTCTTTTTGGACAAAGGCATAAATGGAATTGTTGATCTTCCGTATGTGTACGTCGAAGATCCGATTCGAAGGGTTCAATACCACAGCTTGATGCTTAAGGGCGTCGCGAATCAATTAAGAAAGTGGCCGAACGATCTTTTCAGCTCGTTCATGGCAGCGTGCCTTGTCATTAGCGGTTTTGTTCTTCTCGTTTTTGTCTCGGCGATATTTTGTTCTTCTTGTCTTTGTCACGGCGATATTTCATCCATAGGGAGCGATAATTGTTGGTAAATAATCACTAATAATTTAATCAATTAACGCTTTCAAGAGAATAAAGATTGGCAATATTAAATGAAGAAATAGAACTTTATTTTAATAAAAGGTATACAGAAGGTGAATAATAGTAACTTAATTGATGTTTCTGCAGATATTTAATTAATTGATCTTTATAATTCACGCTTATCGTTTTCAAGGTTTAATTAACCGTTTTAATTTATGTAAAGGTGCTTTTTAATACTTTTTACATTTTGTACAAATATATACTTAAAAACAAAATAATTTGATTCTTTTTTCAAATTGGAAAATATATAAATTATTAAAATTTGTCCATTCATCTTTAATTTAGCGAATTGAAGATTTCCGAGGATAAATGTTCCTTTAATGTCTATTTCGTGAAGGAAGCTGCACAGGTCTGGTCCGGGAAAGAATTCTGTTATATCGAGGCTGCAGCGAGAGAACAACCCAATCTGAATGTATGTTAAAATTCTTTAATCTTATTTATATTTTATTTATAAGAAATTTTTTCATAAAAAGACATTTTTAATAAAACGTAATTTTTTTAATATAAGTATTTAAGAATTATCATATTATAATCTTAACTTTTGAACAAAACATAGACTTCATCATCTTATTTCTTCTCTTTTTCTTTCAAAGATAACAAAAATACGATGTTAATTAAGGATAATCACAGTCAATCTTTTGTAGATACACTTAATTAATTTGATGCGTGCTTCCGGTATACCGAACACATCGGAAGTTTATCTTAAAATGGCACTGGCGAACCAAAATGCCAATATTCACATTGCCGACTTAGCAATCGACGAATTTTTCAGCAAGTAATAATTATAAGATTATTACATAACATGATGAATGATACATGAACTTTCTTGTTTTATTTTTCTGCTTTAATATACACATATTTAATAATTCTGGAACTGCTTTGCAGCTCTTGATAGAGTTAGCAAATAATGGAAAAATATTTTTCTCTAAAGAACTTGAAACATGATTTCAATATTATTACATATTTATACGTATAATATAAGATATCCCACATTATCGCTTCGCGAATTTTTTAGCCCATTTAAAAATGCAATTCTTTTTGTTTACTTCAATTTTCCAATCAAATTACATTCTAATAGCATTAATTATATGCGTTAGGACGGAATTGTCGAGTATTGCGAAAAATTTAAGTAACGAATTGTTGTTGATGGCGGCGAAAGCGTATCTGCTTTGGAACTTCCCCGGAGTCGCAATGCATCCCAGCGCATATTGTAATTTGTCAAGCATCAATAAATCTCGGTGGAAGTAAGTGAATAGATAAACACGAGTAGAGATAAATTAACATAATTTTCAATGCTTCTATCTTATTTCTGTTAGTAAAGTGGAAAAACGTGATTGCACGCCCGACAAATTGATTACGATCGACCCAACGATCGACTTGCAAGCGACAGACGTGCATTGTCAAGCATTTCTAGGATTTTTACTCCGGGAAATATCCAAGAATGCAACGCAAATTTTTGGTTTGAAGGATGCATTGGATAGATTTTGTCCGAGGTATACATACGCACGAGGCCGGTATTCATAGTCGATTCTTATTTTTAAGACCGTCTTAAGTACAATCTTAAGACGTCATGAACTAATCACAGAACCGTATTAGCATCTTAAGACATTACTTAAGACAGTCTTGAAATAAGAACCGACTATGAATACCGACTATGAATACACGCAGAATGTCGCCATTTGTAAACTCTTGTTTCTTTTAGGATTGATGATTGTCCCGAAGTACGAGTGCTTGATTTAAAATCGCGATGCTCGGTCAACGCTTTCGATTGCCCTACTGTATATACGTCCGGAAAACCTTGGGAACTTACGATATAATTCAAAAATTTATTTATAAAGCCACCCGTTGAAGAAATGGCACCTGATCTTTATCGTATAAAATTTTATATAATGTGACCTAAAATATAATGAATAAGAAACAAAAAATTTAATTTAAAAAACCTGTAATAAATACATTTTCATGATGTATAAGAAAAAATGAGAAGATTACCGAATTAAAAAGTGATATATATGTAGTTTGGAAATAAACTTTTTTTAAAATTAAGAAACAACAAGGATGTGATTTGTGAAAAGATTTATGACAAAAATGTGTATATAATATAAGAATACGAAATTCGGAGAATAATCAGAAATTCATATACAATTGTTCATCGATTTCTATTTTTCTGACGCTCCATTGATCATCGTCATCTTAGTGTGTTTTGAAGTATCGATGCTCGTAGAGCCACATCACACTCAGCCACGTCCAGATTTCTGCCACTAAATATACAAAATTCAACGTTTATATAATAAAAACGTTTATTATGTAAAAGCAAATAAAAAGTATGAATAAACTATATGAAATAAATAATATATAAATAGGATAAATCTCAAATATATGATACACGTTTTTTTTTTATAGAATATCTTTTAAATTTAAAACAATTTTAAATGTAATGTATTTTAGAAAAATCCTATTCTAACAGAAATTATTTCTATGAACATTTTGATTAGTACAGAAGATATATAGTTTAGTTTTATTGTGACTAGAGATATACATGAATATATCCCACTTTTGCCCGTATTAATTTATTCATGTTATCTTTCTCGAATCCGTAAAAAAAATAAAAAGAGAGATAAAGATATTTACAGATTAGTAAAAGGAGTCCCGCGGCATAAATTAATGCGGTTTCTATCCGAAGATATTCGAAGAGATACCAAATTGTTATGACCACGTCGCAAAAATCGCATACCAGCTCGGCCAAAAAGGTGCCTATAAAAGGCAAACTAAATTGCGGCCGCTTCTGAAATTTATAATAATCGAGATACATGAATGATAAATGCGAAAAAGCGTAGAAAAGGACGTAAAATTGTGTTTATCACTTAGCAATAATCCCGTTTACCATAATAATGGAATAAACGAGCATGCCAGCCACAACGGCAGATATTATGGAGTGCGAGACGGAATAGCCGAAACTAAATGTCACGACGGTTTTTCTCGAGGGGAAACGAAGGATCTGCCCATTCTGTAAAACATTGTACTCCGTTGATCCGTAATAGCACAAGGTCAATATCGATAACGCCAACGACATTGCTCTGACTATCTTGAAACCTTCATTTTCAAAGAAGGTTTCTTTTCCCAGCGATTTCTCAACTTTCTCAATTATTGCGGAACGAGTAGAACTAGTAGTACTAGTAGAACTAGTAGTAGTAAACAGACGAGGTGATATTTTAGCTTCGATTAGCTGCAAAAAAAAGGAATAAAGTCGTGCGGAAATTAAAAACTCGTCTTTCGAGAAATTGAATAATACGGAGGTATATTGAATTCATATTTGTGAGAAATACAAAGAATTTATATATATATTTTTATTTGTAAAAATAACTGTATATTTTTTGTATATTTATACTCTCATCTAGACTGTGGAACAACAGCGTGATGCAGCTGAAAAATAAATGTCACGTATTAAATTTAATATGCAAATATTGTACCGTTTTGGCTCGGCGTTCTTTGTGAATTTTCATCCTTTCCATCAGATAACCTTCGTGACTGCTTCGAACGCGACTTGGTCGGTGATCCATCGTAAATTAATAAGCCACGATAAATTTTTAGAGAAACGAATTAATATACTTCAAAACGCACATGCATTATATGCTAATTATTGTTGCGTATTGCGTATTATTTTTGAAGTGATGAATAATGTAAATATGTAATATGTAGCAAAAATAAAAAATTACGCAACAAACTGATATACATTTGCAAAACAATATGTAATGAAGATTGTAGATACGGAAAAAATGTTATAGAATGGAAAAGAAAACCGATTGATAAATGTAATGCGATGATAAAAAGAAAAAATAGATTTGCATAATTATGTCGTAATAATAGCAAAACTTCACGTTATTGACTTTGATTTGTGACTTTATGCACATCGATCACATCGATGTTGTAATCGATTTAAAGGATTTAGAAGCTATTTATCATTAGCTTTATAAATTTATGCGATTTATGAAATAACTACGTTAAAAATCTGTTTCGTTTTTTACATAAATCGCATTGAATAATAAAGTGCATAATTAAGTTAGATTAATTCGCATACATTAATCATCCGACGTTATATATGGTTAAATTGCGACCTATCGAAAACGCTGTCAGACGTAAAAGCAGAAACCTCGAAAATTTATGGAAAGCAGGCGTGCAAATATAATGAAGTTTATTGAACACACATCCATTTATTGACCTGTTTAACGTAATTGCATTTCTGCATTTCGGATTTCGATTTGAAAAAGAAATTTCTCCAGACCGTGGATTTGGGTACAAAGTGAATTATGGCCTTTTACAGTCGACGAAACTTTAGAGCCCATGGTGGACACTATGTAAGTTAAATATTTATCGCGGTTTTTCGAAACGCAGTTTATTCATTGTCGTGATAATACCAGTTTCATTTTGCAGAGGATCGAACGAATGGCTTGTTCCTTGTGCAATCATTATGTAATGGGTAGCTCATTGTACGTGATTATTTTGGGCCTCATTGGGACCGTTAGTCCATCGTAATACTCTCATCTTGCTAATTTAATTGTTTAAATATGCCAGATAAGAAGGAAACAAACATTTTAGCGCCAAACACTATTAATGCAAAATTTTGTCAGGTAGTCACGGCTTTTGACATAATACGCACAATAAATTACAAGGTTCCCAGGACATCGTCACGTCACAGGAACAACCAGGAAGGTAATAATTACTGCATTATTAGAGAGCATTCTAAAGTAACTAAAAATTTTTTTAATTAGATACCTGTGGTGATATCAATAAATCAATAAATTGTTGTAAACCATTACATATTAATTGCAGTTCCTTTCACTGTCGAGAGAGACTTAAAATTGATGACCTCAATCTTGGGAATCGAGCATTACACTTTAATTATGTTAGGCGCCATCACGGTGAGTAAAGAATTATTTAAAAAACCTAACGTTTATTTAAAAATATTATGAAAATTACGCATTATATAAATTTGTTCAAAAAACTTATCAAAGTATAATAATTATTTCTGATATATATTTATATATATATAGCTTCGATTTGGCAGGAATATCCCATGTTGCACACGCCATGGTTGCTCATGCAACTCTGTGTCATCATCGTGGAGATCGTCATCTTCTTCGTAAGATTCTTCTTAGATGGTTTGCATCTCAAACGCAACGAGATATTGCAAGCGGTGTTTACCTTATACAATTGGTTACAAGTCTTCTGCCTTTTCCATCAGCAAACAAGACGTACCATTTAGAGATGTCTCCTTTTTAACGTTAAATTATTATATATTTATATTGTTTTAATATTACACATGCTATGAATTGTATAACAATGAAATATTTTTTTATATAAATACGTATATTTTATCAGTTGATTCAGATTTTCCCCAAAGACATCTGACTTATTTATTTCAAAATAAGAAATTAATCCGAAATTTGATATTAATTGGATCTTGATAATTTTGATTTGCTTTGCAAGTCTAGTCACAAAGTTTTAATACAATTCAATTGTCTTATCTCTTACGTCCATTCTAGGATAATAAAATTTTTTATATTCTAATTCACTTACATATAAGCTTAATATACAAAAAATTACATTGCAACAATTGAGACGATTTTTATTTAAATAAATTTAAACCTAATTTAATTTTGTGTGTATAAATCAGATTGTGCGCGATATCTGAATATGTATAACAATTAGAATTTTTGTATATATTTTATTTTATTACATTGTACAGTTTACAAAGAGAGATTTGGTGAGAATTTTTTTTATATTTATAAAGTTATTTTCTTCTTCCTTTAAATTAACTCTTCCTAAATTTAATTAACAATATCGCAAGGCTCATAAAGATACTGATCCAAATGAAAGTGGCAATAAAACCGTAATAAACCGCCGGTTCCGATATCGACCAGCCTCTGGCCATTATTAGTCTCATTGACTCCGTGCTCTTCGTCAGGGGTAGCAGGAAACTAATATACTTCAATAGTGGATGCATGCCCTCTATGGGCCAGATAATGCCGCACAACATCACAATTGGAAGAAAAGAGCCCATCGCCACGTACGTGGCGGTCCTTTCATTGTCGCAGAAACAGGCGATTACGAAACCTGAAAATTAAATTTATGTTTTCGAACAATTCCTAAAGGCTTAAAGTATATGTAATCAACAAGAAATGTAGTAACATTCCTCGCGGCGAGAACACTACTCTCATAATCTTTCTTACACAAAATCTTCAATCTCTTCTCACGTTTTCACAAAATTGCTGTAACTTGGAAAATCGCGAATATTTCATAAAAGCTAAAGCATCCCTTGGCAAAAGAATTATGCCAATAATTAAATGTGATATTTAATTATCGAAAAATTTTATATAAGAAATATTTATAAAACTTTCGGAATTTGAATATCTCATGCAACGATTCAATATTGAGATAAATGAATTACCGAAACACATGCCGCAGAGGCCCGTGAGAATGTCCAAAAGAGTGATCAAACCGATGTCGCCTTCGCAAGTGACTTTGAAGATCGCGAATGAGACTATAAGGACCATTACAGTTTGCCCGAACATCACCATAAACTGCGTGATCACTTGACCGAAAAGAATCTCCGTGCCAGTGAGACCTAGAGAGACGGAATTAGATTACACAGTTAAAATTATTTATCAGCTCCAAGATTTATTAATTTCAGAAAATATATCTCAAATATTGTCTAGAATTAGAACTTTTGTGTTAGCTCTTAATATTTTTTATTTTTTTATACAGACCCGACACGAGGCTTCTTTCTAGCAGACCTTCGTTTCTCTCCAGCAGCATAGCGCCCGACGTCAATGCGACTGAGAGAAAGAAAATGATTCTGAAAAGAACACGAATTCTTTCAATTCCAGCAATTGCTGACAAATTTTTCTTGAGAGAAGACAATTTTAACAGGTATGTGGCCGGTATTCATAGTCGGATCTTATTTCAAAACCGTGTTAAGTGATGTCTTAAGTTGCTAATACGGCTCTATGATTGACATCCTAAGATTGTATTTAAGACGGTCTTAAATATAAGCTCTGACTATGAATACCGGCCTGTATCACGTTATCATTTAACATAAAATACTTACGTTAGGATAATTCCCGGAGCTGCAAAATCCGTGAAGTTAGGATTCATAGGCCCGTAGATCGGCTGCTTGAACTGACGTAACAATCAGCGATAGAAATAAATTGTGGTAAATAATAATTTACGATAACGTAACAAAGATAATCATTTTAGAACGTCGCAGCAACAAGAGTTTGACAAAACTCATCTCGCCGCTATATTAGCATAATCGGATTTACTTACGTTTATGGGTATGCTTGTTAACTTTTCACTATAGTTGCAGGCTACAGTGACCTCCTTCGCGAAATCTTGAAATGCGTAAAGCAGATCCCTTTGTAGCAGCTGTCCTATCTGTTGATCTACAAAGGCGTATCGCGTTAAGATTTTCAGATAAAAATTACACAATCCTTGATCATATCGGAAGATGTTTTATTTTACAAGAGCGCTCAACGAGACTGGAACTTCTAGAATGCGGCATTTTATATGCAAAAGGAGAAAAAGTTATTTCGCTTTATTCAAATTCGTTCATAGACTTACTGGACATATCCATAACGATTTTCATCTCCGCGAAATTAATGTCCCATTCCGCGGCATCTCTGCCATAATCTATCCTCGCCATGAGAGCTTCGGAATAATTGGACGGAAACGTTATAGCGCCCCATGCCCATCCCCTCGTCACAGCATTTGTGGCTTCTTCGTCACTGTCGTACGGTAAAAACTGTATGGTTTTCTTCTGCAGGTGCTGAAGATATCGACAGCTTAGGAGCGACCAATCGCATCCGGTTCCGAAAGTGCACGGTTGCGTGCTATTGTTGAGCTCGTTGTTGACAATGGCTAATTTCAACCCTATAGGATCCTTACCAATGGAGATACAGAAGAGGACTATTTGGGCGACCGGCAGAGCAATGATGAAAAACATTATTCTGCAACAACCAAATTGCAAGTGAGCGATTAAAAATAAAACGAAGAGATGAGAGAAAGTTTGGTGCGCGTGATGAAATTGATTACCCGACGTTCCGCCACATCCATAGAAAGTTCTTCCAGATAAGAGCCTTCATGTGCATCGGATTAAGCATAGTGTGTTTGGAAGAATCACCTTCTTCTTCCGGCGGCAATGCCGGCACCTGTTAGAAGACACACAAATGAATAAAATATTATTTAAAAAATTATTTAGGCTGACAAACGATTAAAATAAAAATGATCAGTGCTGTGTATATACATATGTAAAAAATTATTGACATTACCGTTACATTGCCGTCCTCCACAATGACTACACTTTTCCGTCGACTAGATATGCTCACGTTATCGCCGAACTCGCCGCTCATCTCGTCCACGTCCTGCAAAGCAAAGAGGAATTGAAAGATATCTTAATGACGCGTAAGCAATACCAAGAACGCACGCGTATGTGTGCGTGAAAATATAATATCTTTATGCTTAATAAAACTTGCCAGTCAGGCCGTTTAACTATACCTAATAATATCTTTCTCCAAGAAGTGTTAAAATTTTGTCGCACTTATACTCACGTCTTCCGGCGGAACACCCGTTATACTGCTCAGAATGCTACTTCTCCTTCTTAATCCCACATTCTGCCTCTTGCTCAGTTTCAAGAAGACATCTTCCAAAGTGTCCAATCGATGCATCTCCATCAGCTTCGCCGGGGACTCCTCTGCCAGAAACTTGCCGTTTCTCATCAGGCCGATGATGCCGGCTTGTCTGGACAATGGCAATTCATCATTTAGATAATTTTTATAATCACTTTGAAAAAGAAGTCCGTAATACATAACTTGGATAATGATATGGGCGACAATTAAAATCGAGCAGCGAGTAACTTTTAACAATCAGACGCTTCATAGATAAATCTTAGTTGCATCGAGGCAGGATTCAAATTAATTTTTTTATTTTACGATTCTAATTAAAAGAAAATTAAATTGGTTGATTCAATTCATAGCGCTGTCTGTACAACTAATAAAACAAGGTTGGATTTAGTTGTAAAGTGAAAGTCATAAAGTGAAAGTGTCGAATGTTATAAAGTACTAATATCAGAAAATGTAATAAATGACGTTAGAAATAATTATGTGGCCGACTTGCCTAGTCTCCTCGATGTAGTGCGTAGTGATAATGATGGTCCTGGTGCCATCCTTGGTGATTTGCACCAGGTGATCCCAGATATTCTGACGGAGAATAGGATCCACTCCAACTGTCGGCTCGTCCAGAATCAAGAGTTCGGGCTCGGCTAAAATGGCAGCCGCGAAGGATACTCTCCTTTGCTGTCCACCTGATAGATTCTTAACGAAACGATTTTCAGGCGGTAGTTCTAAAAACTGTAATCAGAGAACGTAGATATTACTGAGCCCTGCGATAATCTACAATAAAGATATTTACGATAAAACGAGACGGAAATGGAGATACTTCGGACAAAGAGATCTTCTCTTTCTAGAATTTTATTAGTGACAGAATTGAAAGGTATATTAAATATGATGAAAAGCCCTCGCCTCAAAATCCCGACTTTCCGCGATTGCCGAAAACCTCTTACCTTAATCAGAAAAGTCAGCTTTTCATCCACCTGTTCTGTCGTCATACCGGCACACCAGCCGAAGTAGATGAACGTTTCCCGAATGGAGAACTCGCTGTAGAGCGCGATCTCCTGCGGCATGTAGCCGACCCGGGGACCGGGCACACCGGACCCCTTGGAACCCGGTCGACCGCCCAGCACCCATATTTCGCCGGAATCCAAGCGTCTCCGACCAACGATGCACGACAGCAGAGTGGTTTTTCCGCAACCGCTTGCACCAAGCAGCCCGTAACTGTTGCAATAAAACGTTTATTATAGACACGAAATAGACCAGAAATAAAGAGGTTTTTACATCGGTAAATTTAATAATAATATTAATAAACTAAAATTTCTTCTATCTAACAATTAGACTCCATTATTCTTAAACTCTTTATTCTTTAACTTGTATATCAGTCAATAAAAGATTTGGAATTTTTCTCTGCTTGTAACTTAAATTCTGCCTAGAAAGTATGTGCAGAAATTTATTAATAATAAATTTATTAATAATAAATTACTTATCTCCGTTAATTGATTATTGAAATGGACAGAAGGTACTTACATTGTGCCTTTCGGCACGGTCATATTGAGGCCGTCCAGGATAACGTTGGGATTTTTTTTGGACCCATATTTCTTGAAGGCCCTTCTTACGCAAACAGCCTGCCTCCGTCTCGTGTCCAAGGTCGATAGTTGCGAGCGGAATGGCTGTCTTCGTGTTTTCATCTCCATCAGCGTGCTCGGCGTGCTCGCACTCTCCATCTCTACATTTGAAAGAGAGGTACGATCATATATCGCATGTTGACTCCTTCATCCATTCGTTTCCTATTTTTCTCTCTTATTTTTTAGTTCTGAGCACGGCGTTAAAATAGACCCGACTTTTTTTCTTCTTCGACACTACGCTGTAAGTGTATAATTTTGCATCTTTTAAAATTTAAATTGTCGAATGATAAAGTATGGCGCTATGCGATCCACTCCGGAACCTGTCCGCGCGAGTTCAGATTCTCTTACTCCGGTAGGACCGGTCAGATAAGTGAGAGTGTCTGTTACGGCGTTACATCACGGACAATTTGCGAGACACCGATATACGCCGATCATATGCTATACACAATCGAATGATAAACAATTCAACTGTATACAGTTTAAAAATGTGATAAGTTATTTATTCGTTATAGTTCTTCGCGAATTTGTAGTTTGATCTTATCAAAATAATAAAAAGTAATCAAGATATCGTTTCTAAAGATCATAATATGTCTTTGTTGGGGAATCAACAGAAACGTATTTTTAGTATTTAATATTATTTAACATTTATATATTTAGTGTTAATTTAATATTTGATGGTTCAAGCTAACGAAGCAACTTTAATTAAATGCTACCGGAACCGTAATACGATTCGAAAGTCAGGATAATTAAAAGTTCGGTAGTCTCTTCTTTCCGTTTTATAAGATTCACAGCAAACAACACTCGATTCTTTTTTGCGCTTATTTATTTATGTTATTTTTCGAAGAAATTGCAAATTTGATGACTCATTCACATTCTATCAATCGCAAGGTGCACCTCTCGACTCATTGAGAAATCGTTGCCTCATATCGCTAATTAATTAGGTCATGTTACCAAGAGTTGTATCACTTTTCTCGTGCAGCCATTAGTTTTGTTATATTTCTGGCATTGTATGTGATAATAAAAATCTTTCAAAGGCTGCACTGTCTTAATTTTATTTTTTTCAGGTTTCATGTATTTTGCTATTAGTTAGACAATGAAACAACATTTTCTATACTATAGAATCGAAAGCACTCCATTGTAATTTCTTGTTTACGAGCTAATGTAAGCTAATTTTAGTGATTAAAGCGATATGGTATATCTAAAATCTTTATTGCGCGAGGAAATTAAAATAATTGGAGCTACCGCGAACAATTGAGACATGGCGTGATAAAAAAATTACGGACGAAATCCAAGATCTTTTTAATTCCCGCTCGCGGGATTAACCCGAAAATACGTCATAAAATGCGTGTTAACATATTACATCGATGAATAATTGGAAAAGAAGCGACATCCGTTACAAAATCTGCGTTGACGTGTTGTTACATCAAACATGTAACCGAAAAATATATGAGCGATGAGTAAGCTACGTGCTACGCAACACGCCGCTGCTTTCACGTAATTTGCTCATTTCTTTACGCGAGAAAGAGAGGCGTATTACGAAAGAGGAGGCCGGCGAAGAAAGACCGCCTAAGGTTACGTCCGATCGCTTTCCTTTCTTTCGACTCTCCCCAGGTCTCCCTGTCGTCATTTCTTCCTGATGAACTTGCTTTGTCGTTGTCAGACGCAATCCATTTATCGAGCAAGTTCGTCGGTATTGCAAAAGATACGTTACCCCGAATCAATTCGGATTCGATATTCATGTGGCAAAGACTATCATCACCTAATGGTGGAATTTTAACTTCCATCGAAATGTTTTTTAATATATAATTATTTAAATATCTTTAATTATATATTGCCTAACTTTCTAAACTGATCTTCTTATCCTACATTGTTAGAAATATAATTAAAATCTTCAACTTTTATAACTTCTTACATAAAATTATAATCCTTTCAATACTTGTAATAATTATAATTTAGTAAATAAAAATTAGAAACTTTGAGCAATTTTAATTAATAATTAATTTAAATTTGCTATCTTGTTAATCATTTTGTGTAGGATAGATAAGATATTCTACATATTCTGCTATACGTAGAATAAATGAAAAATATATATCTCCACTCTGTTTTACGAAGAATATATAAAATATTCCACTCTGAACTTGACGCATTAAGTGCAGTGACGTTACAGAATCTTTTTTATTTACGTCGGTTATTTCCATTCGGTCGACTTTATCATTACAGGAAGAAGAAGAAAAAATTGCAGTCAATAACGCTAGCACAATCGTTCACCGCAATTGCTAGATCATTATAGAATCATGCCGATCAAAGAGATATCAATAAATCCTACTTTACATCTGAATAATACAAGATGAATATTTACATTGCCTACGACTCATGTTACGCTACACATTATCTCATATTGATATATATATTTCAATCATTAGCTCATTAAATATGATTTCTTCTGCAGATCTCGTTGCATATAATGACTACTCAGCAAGATTAATAATTAATGATAAAATATAACAATATTAACCTGCACAATTTTAATGACGAAAATGTTGATTACGATGCCGCTTGCTAATTTCTCCGAACAAAATCTTCTTGGAGAACGAGATCGACGTGAGGTTAACTGGCGAGCACCTTTGCGCGATTCTTCTTTGCTTAAGTCATTTCCTTGTTTATATTACTCATATCTTCACACTTATCTGAGTGTATTCGAACATGTCCTTCTACGAGATATTGTAATGTCCTTTCGACGGTTTTTAATGAGGTTTTTTCAGAAATATATTTTCTGAAGCGTTCTCTGTTCTTTTTTAATTAGTCTATTGCTCGTCTATTTTAGAATATATTCTTTAATAAATAATATCTTTACAGAAATTATTATAAATGTAATTTTTAAATCTATTTTTTAAATGTATTTTTTTAAATATGTTTTTGAGCAACACTTTTATTTTCTGTTAAGTTTGAGGATATATTTTGAATGAAATTTGTTTAAAGCGCTTTTGCTTCTTTTATAGTCTATTTTTAATTATTCTTGTTCGATTATTACACAACTGGCCAACAATTATCGTAAATTATCCGTAAATTATCGAGTGCACTTCAACAGTTGTTGATCACTGATAATTATATGAAGTAATCACTGGTATATATATATATAAAAACACGTTTAACAACTTTTAATAATGTTTTTATTATTGTCTTCAAGAGTTCTCGTTTCTTTTTTTGTGGAAGATTTTGCCCCTGATACAACACGCCTGGTCGCGATCACTACTTCAATTCGTAGATAAAATGTGGCAAAGGTTTTGCATATCTACAGATAAAGAATTAAGAATGAGTTTTTTAACCTTGAAAGAGAGAAATCTAAGGATAAAAGTTTTAAATTTAGAAAATGATTTTTTGCTACTTTCTATTTGCTAGCAAAGGAATCTTTCGAGATTTTGATTTAATATTTTAATTAATTCCGCATTAGGAAATCTATGTACAAACTTAGTATTGCAAGTAAATAATTTATTTTTAAAGTAGCCAGGAGTTAATCTAATTCTCAAAAAAATTTTCTTTCCTTCTCTTTCTCTCTACACATTAAATAGGTGTAAAAAATTAAACATCAAAGTATTTCAAAAAATCGGTTTTGAAAATTAATTTTTAAGAAAAGGAATAATTTTTCATATAAATGTTGTAAAAAATGAAAAAAAATTGTTTATTTTAGCATATTTTGAACATATAAAAAAACTGAGGAAGATTGAAATCTATATCTTCTACTAAACTTATTTCAATCTCAGTAAAAACGGACTCGCAACGTTACGATTCAAAGGTCAAAATCCAAGTTGTTAGCTGAATAAGATCTCTTAAAAAAATTATTTCCACTTCAACCAACATTTCAATAACAGATTTTGCGATGCAGAATTAATAGCAGGTCAAAATCCAAGTTCTACAGCTTACTAAGATCTTAAACAAGCTAGTTTGTCTTTAGCCACTATAACAGATTGCTCGAGGCGAAATTAAGAGAAGTGCTCAGTAATAAATTTCAAGATCTATCATTTAAAGGTTAAAAAATTCTATCGTATTTATTCTTTTTCTCAATACTGAATTAATCAACATCCCAAAAGATCCCATTTAAGGCTGTTAAAAATCAAACCTTGAGACTTAACTTTGAAAGAGATTCTTATATTATCAAAGTATTAAAATAATTCTACAATAAGAAACCGAGAATCGTTACACAAAATCTCACTTTATTTTAAGATTATATTAATAAAAATCTATCTATGAAATTTCTAATTGTTTTAAGCAACGTCATAAATTTAATTTCGAATATCAAGCAGGCAAAATATCATGGCAATTTTTAAATAAGACTTCGAAACTTTTATCACGAGAATGCCTTATGCCCATTTCTATCCAATGCAGATTAACTTTAATCGCGGTTTCACTTGCTCTTTATCATTTTACAGTTCTACGAATTAGAAAAAGATAAAAAGCAAGTTAAACCGAGATTAAAGTTAATCTACATTGGTAGAAATGGTCATTGGAGAGTTTCTCAAAGTTAAAAATTTTAATCTCTGGGATTTGTAAAAGACTCTTGAATTTGAAGCAATCTTTAAGGTACGTCGGAACGGCGGTGAAGACACTATGTACCAATCACGATTGCGAGACTCCGTTTCGCGTACTTATCTCGTGCAGAAACCAACGGAAGGATTGAGACCGAGAGTGCGACCAGGAAAAGACCGAGAGGCCGTGCGAGAGTAAGAGTGGCCGCCTGACCGCGACGAGGCTCAGCGAGAACTGGCTCTGCGCTTGGGCCAGCAGGATCCCGCGCGGACAATCAAACACCTGCTTGTGCAATCATTCGTTTTGAGCAAAACAGTCTCGCTTAAGGGAGGGGGGGGGGATAAGCTTTGCGCTTCTCCAATGGCGTTAAACAAATCCCAAGATCGTGGAAATACCTGAAGTGACATCCAGACGCGTTACGTGTCTGACACCTACTGAACTTTTAAAAACTCTTGGCTAATAAGAGATTTACTTAAAGAAATATTTCCTCGGATAATATTTCTTCGGGAATATTGTCCCGTCGAGTCGCGATGTGTAATAGTAGATTTTTTAGCTTCAGATAATATTGAACGGAATGCAGAGTCGCAATCGTGCATTGTGCGCCGGATCCTTCTTGTGCGGCAAATGTCGTCCTATATTTGGTTCAAGGTAAAACGGAACCGGTCCGGGGTCCGGGACCGGTCTATCCAGACGGAAGTAACCATCAGAAGTAATTTTTTTTACTTCCATTAAGGATCTCTTTCTTGTTGCACTATAAGGAAAATCACGCATGAGTCACAAGGCTTTTTGGATAAAATGGGTGACTAAACTGGTTTCTTGCAATAAAAGTTAAAAGAATATTAAGTTATAATATATATTGTATAATGAAGGTTATAATATATATAATATGAAAGAAAATTCCTTCAATTTTGAATCAATCGTTTTATTAAAACTCGCGATATAACGCATATGGTTTATGTAAATAAATTTTCTTTTACCTATTTTATTCACAGTTTGTTTACGAGTATTCCAAGGTAGGAAAAAAAAGGAAAAAAATAATTTGTTATTACAAATTATTATTTATTAGCTCTTGGTACTCCAGTAGCATAGTGACGTCAAATGACGTCTAATTGACATCTAGAGACGTCTCTAGACGTCAAATTAGACGTCATCTTGCTACCTGGGTAATTTCTTAAGTACTCCAAGAGAAATAATACAATTCATCTTATCGTATTTCTACTTTATTGATAGACTTTATTAGAAATAAATTTTATAAATTTTTTAATCTTATTACGTTTGATAAAAAAAGTTAGATTTTACTAACTTTAGATGTGACGGAAAGAATTTGTAAAAAAAATATTTAATTAATTAATTGTTAGCGGAACGGAAAATGTAACGCTTCATGCTCTTTTCGCAATATTAATTACTATGCGAGTGAAATTCGAGTAGAAACCGGAACGGCGCTCAGGCAATCTTTATTGCGATGTTAGCATAATGTGTATGAAGATGGTAAACTGTGTGTATATAGTTGTATGTATGTACTTACAAAATAGCGTGTATTTTCAGTGTAGGGACGCGATCAGAAAACAAACTAAAATCAAAAGATATGCGAAAAAAGTATAAAATATTTTTAGAAAAAAAATGTAGAAGTAAAAGATAGAATAATAAAAACTATCAACACAAATAGTAAATAAGAAAAGATAAATAATAAAAATAATATATAATAGATATTAATAATAAATAACAATTTAAAATATAAGATATACTCGTGTATGTGACGTTTCTATTTATTTATAAATAGATAGTTTTTATTTATTGTTTTATTTGCCTAAATGTTTAATTGAATGTAAGTAAATATATTTGTCCAAAATATAATAAATAAAGACGATTTTATACACCGCTTTAAAAAAGTTGGAATTTTTGGAATTTAGACTTCGTCAATAATAGAGTGCGCCGTGAACATTGAATACGTCAAGGCGATCTTCTTTTTAGCGCTCTCTTGTTAGTCGGCCATTTTTCCTCAGCGACTAGATAATCGCGCATGCAGTAATAGACTCGCTGATGGATTCCGCTCCATTTGCATATATTTTCTGCGACTCATTTAAAATTTTAAACGAAAATAGTGTAAATTCTGTGACACGTATAAACGATTTAGTCATTTAGAGATAGAAACGTTAATTAAGAGAGATTATACATCGTTAGTCCTGTGGATTTTTTATATAATTTAATATTAAATAATAATTATTAATTTATAAGAAAATTATTTTAATCATATCCTTTTATATTTTTATACCTTCTATATTTAAAACATATCTTTATTTTATTTAAGCTGTATTTAAGACATGCTGACCTATGACCTGTTGAAGATTAAATCAGTCTATATGACCATCTATATGAGATAGTCGACACAATAAAAAGCACACGTGGTTCTTCGAACTAACCGTGCATCGATATTCCAAGTATGCACGCGTATAGCTTCGTTCAATATTTGATGATATGTCTATATAGTCTATACTTGGACATGAAATGTACACAGTATCCGCAGTATAAATATACGATTCGCGATGCGATTCGTATTTTATGTTTATAAATGAGAATGTGCAAGATTCATAAGAAAATTGTAATAAATATAATAATTATACGATGAGACAATTAATTTTTACATATTTAATTGTTGACTTATCACGGGATCTATTGTATCTCGACAATAAAGACATTACTGTAGATGTTTAATGAAAAACTTTAAACTATAGATAGTGTTTTAATCGTAAGCAAATTAATATAATTTAAACAAAGAAAGTGTGAAGAGAACAAAATGTCGATTGAGTATAGCTCTGGGTTTTTCTCATTTTCTTATAATTATATTAATCACATCCTTACTATTTAATAGTAATTATTCTACTAATTCTAGACGTTAATTCCAATAATATACGTCATCATGACGTATATTACCGAGAAAGGCCACTTCTGATAATAACGTCGAAGACTCACCTTTGTGGTCTTTCCCACAAAAAGAAAACTTATCGGTATCATAAATGTTGAGATAAAGAAAAAACTATTCAGGGTGTATACTTGCTGAGATAATTATTATTAAAACTTAAAAAAATTGAAATTGTGCATTGTACAAGATTATTAAATAACGTAAAATTTTCATATTAAAGATTTTCGGACAATTTTCGAAGAATTGTATTTATTAATGTTTCTTATTTTTAAAAGGAGATTATTTTTATAATTTTATTTTCATTAAACGCAAAAAATTTAAGAGTAAAAAGCAAAATTATAAAATTATTTTCAATTTTATGTTCTGGATGTTAAATTTTGTGATCCAATATTCGCTTCATCCGTACATTAATAAACTTCTTTCCAAGTATGGAATTTATATTACAAATTATATCTATATAACAATTTATATTTTAGATTGTATTATAATTACGTAATGTTATATAAATTTCTTAATTGTTATACATTTTCAAAAATTTACGGCAGTCTTAAAAATCACATCAAAACATTTAGAAAAATTGTACCATTAGGTCATTCGTAATAAAATTACTTTGATGTAGTGCGTGAATAAATACTCGGTTATTTAAATCACTTATTTCATAAAAATATTCTGTAACGCTACATTTTTCTATATACGCAAGCGATCAAATATAGACATCGTTCGACGTCGAAATTACCGTATGATCTGCATTTCTCCCAGCGATCGTTATGCAACTCCGATACTCCATGACTTTCTTTCGTATGGCGGAAACGGCGCGCACAAAGAGAGAGAATGCTCGGGGGTCTGAAATCATCCTGAAGCACCGATCACACTTTCGTTTTCTCTCGGTGACGCCATTAGATTTGTCTCATATCGTCAAATAGTCACATAATCGCTCTTGAATCGCAAACTAGTCGGCGCCCTCTTACTCAGCCAACTCAGCGGTTTTCCCTATTAGACCACCTTATGGAAGTCATGTAACCGATGATCTTATATGCAAAAGCGCAGCGTGCATCTGTTCTGCAACGTGAATCGCGAGTTATTTTCAAATAGGTGCGCACCGACATGTTTCCAAACAGAGACAAGGTCGACCAGCTTCTACGCAATCCAGATATCGTTTCGAATCACCTGCAGCTATCTTCCAAACGAGGCCAGGAAGATCACACTTTCTGCAAAAACCGTCCTGAAAAAATTAAACGAATTACGAAGAACTGAGAAGAAGGCTCCGTTTCACGAAATGAACGACTTTGTGTACATTGTAAATAAATGTAATTATAGGTAATACGAATATTGATTAAAGAATTATTCAATCATTAAATAAATCGATCAAATAATTTAATCGCGTAAAACTGGTTAAATGACCTACTTTTTATATTCACTTTTGCATTATTTAACACAGGGAAGTATATCTGGTTGCTCGCTAATGGGCGCGTTCAGGAATTACATTTTCTCAGAAGGTAAAGATGGAATAATCTACAGGATGCTTGCATTTAATCTGAGAAGTTTGCGGGTGGTCAATATACTGGGGCAATTAACTTATTAATATTATTTGATTTTTAAGATTTGTTATACAAAAGTTAATAAACTATTATTATGTTATATGTGCAATAAATTATTACATAATAATAATAACGGTAATAATAATATTGTTAATTAATAACAATAGTATTAATCTTAACTAATAATTATTAGTTAAGATTAATAGGGTACCTCCGGTATTTACGCCGCAGATGTAAAAAAAAATAGAAGGAATGAAGATACTTGCTTGCAATTATTCTGTTATGTGCCTCTATGCAGTATTAGTATTGTGTTGTAATTTCAGTTCTTTACTGTTAATATTAACGAAACTGTCGTGAGTTGAATCGACTTCTCACCGTAGTAAGAAGCGTGATCTTGTGTAAAGGTCAATCTAGACAAACTTGCATAGCGCATAAACATAAGCATAAGAGAATTGATTGGTCCATATGCATGTGCATAAGGAAATAGACCAATCCGTTTCTTTATGCATATGGTTATGCACCTATGCAAGTTTGTGTGGATATAGCTTTACGACCTACGTAAAATGGTTACTGCAGGGAATGTAAAAGGTTTAATAGTTATTTCACGATACATAAGTGTAAAGGGATAGTAAATAATAGAATACAGCAAAATACAAGTGCATAGCTCTTGTATTTTTTGTTTAACTTAATATTTTGTATATCCCTCCGGTTTAGGATATACAGCAAGTTATTAGCATGCGGGATTTATGCCATAGTACAAACACTTTGTAAAACTCAAAATCTCCTATGTGTTCTTTTTCCTTCTTTTTTTGGGTCGTA